TGATACAAGCCCAAATGCTCGACTCGAACAGTTGGTCCTTCACCATCAACTGCTTTCTCTGTCTGTTTCATCTTGGCTTTCCAAGCTGCTCTTTGTTGCTACTTCTTCATTCATGCCGTGTCTAGTCGTGACAGTTGGTCCGGCATGCAAAGGAATGGGGTCGTCTGGTGCTTTAATTTTTTCGCGGATCCAATCGGTCATGCTCCTACTCAGCATGCTGGCTTGTGATTATATACCTTAACCAAACAGCGACTTTAGGCTTGGATGAAGGAGCGGATCATCATTCCGGACCAGCTCGGCAAACCAAAACACGTGCACTTGGATGATGGAGATGTGGTGCTAACCGGGAGAGGTAGAGTGAACCATCTGATCAATGCGTTCCAAGCGGAATTGATAGCTTGCTCACATGGGGTGCAATTAACATGGGAATTGACCGGCTGATCCTGGAGACCGATGCCATGATGGTACAACAAGCGCTCTTGAGTCTGATCGGTATCTGTTGTCTCCATCAGGAGGTTGGTAGAGGAGCTGAGATCTCTAGTTGTTTCAAATTTCTTGAGTTTTCAGTGTGTGTTTAAGCCTCGTAATTGTAATAGAGCTCATGAGATAGCTGCCCTGGGTTTGTCGCATGGAAGAATTTGAGCACATTTCGTGCGAAGACCCAGATTCTCCAGGAATTGAGCGCATTTCGTGCATCTCCAGGAATTGAGCGCATTTCGTGTGAAGACCCAGATTCAAAAAAAAAAAAAAACACGCGCTTGCAGCCCGCATATATTCTATCTTTTTGTGATTATACCACCTGAGGAACACTCAATAGCTCTATTGTTTGTGGTACCTTTTGCCTTGTTCATATCCGTTGCTACCTTTGATACTTGTTTTCATTCATCCTTGTTTCCTCTCTTATTTATCACAACTGGTGATAGGAACATGTATAGGCCAGCAACTAGGATAAGTGCTCTGGACATTTATTCAATATTGTTGTCTGTCACTGATTTGTGTGCCACATATACATATTTGTTCTTTTGTGTACCTCCTAAGCTCCACATATACTTTAGATCGGTACAGAAAAAGACCCTTGCAATCTTGGTGTCATACCCTCACAAGTATCACGTACCAGCCACCGGTTGTACCGTCCACTGCTTTGCGTTGGTAAGACCCTTGTAAGAACTTGGTAAGACGTGTGAGAGTGTGATTCCACTTACCCATAAATAGTTGATAGGGGATTTATATTGATTTCTAACAATATCAAACAACGAGTTTCTGTTTAAGAGTGAATTACAGGAAATCATGTACCAGAAGTTTGCAAGGATGGACCGAATGAAGAATAATGAGCCCTCACATATAGACTATAATCATCAAGGTATGAGAGGTAAATTGACCATACCATCCTTTTCGGGTCATTATGATGCTGAGGGATATCTTAATTGGGAGATAATGGTAGAACAAAAGTTTAGTGCCCACCTTGTACCTGAGCAATATAGAGTTTGACAAGCTACTAGTGAGTTTAAGGACTTTGCCATTATTTGGTGGTATAGGCTAGTTGCACAGGATGTTTTACCTGGTACATGGGAAGAACTTAAGATAGCTATGTGTGATCGTTTTATTCCTCCTTATAAACATGAATGACATAACAAATTGCAGTACTTAGAGCAGGGCAATATGTCTATCCAAGAATATTATATAGAGTTTCAAAAGTGTGCAATACGTTGTGGGATAGTAGAGGACATGAAAGATACCATTGTTCGCTTTTTTGGTGGTTTGAGGCATGAAATACAAGATATTGTTTTTCATAAAGAATTTTATACTCTCAAACGTTTGTTCCATCTTGCTATGCTTGTAGAAAAAGAATTGCAGGAATGTTAGCAAAAGAACCATACCAACATTGACGACAACCTCAACCAGATTTTAGTAAGGATGGAGCAACCATTTGCGAAGGTTGAGACTGCGATAAAAAGGCGAGTGGTTACTTCCGCCACTACAACAACATCTTCACCACCACCACCTCCCACACATACTTTGGAGTCTGGTAAAACTTTAAACCATGCTAAAAATGCACAAACTAATAGAGATAGAGCTGCTAATGAAAGGAAAGAATTAGATGTTAAATCTGAATTGCCTTTGTCACAAAATAATTATTCTAATAATGCTAGTGATAAAGAAGAGCTGTGTGAAAATACTTTTATTATACGTATGCCACAACTAGTGAATGAGTATGATGCTTTGGCTTTGGAACCAATTACTTATGCTGAACATAAAAATTTGCTTTCCATTCCTACCGAAAAAGATGAAAAGAAATTATTGTATTCTTCAAATACTTTGGGTTATATTGAGTTTGATACTTTATATGCTCTTAGTAGTTTAGAAGAGAAACTTAAATGTGTTGAATTGTCATGGTTGTCTACTTGTACATATCATTTTAATGGAAAATATAATTGTAAAGGAGAGTATATGGTGCATCGTGTCTATATTTGTTTAAATTTGAAATCTCCTTATATTGTGCAAAAGTATGATCAACCAAAGGATTGCAATTGCTATAATCTTGTCATGTCGAGTTTCCCTAGTTTTGTTATAAAGAAACATGTTAAATTTCAAGAAGGGGAGCAATGTTGGCTACTACCAACAACGTTTCCTTCAGCTAATCCCAAACCGAGGAAGGTTTGTTGTCAAGAAGGGGAGGATGATGAGGACATGACACCATCGGATACGACCATTATTTATAAGGTGAGCTCGTTCCTACATTTGCATAGTGATTTTTGGTATAATTCACTTGGTTCCACATGTACATGTCGTTATTTGAATGTAGGTACAAATGTGTCTCAACGTGCAAGTTCATCAAAGTTGAATTTTTGGTTCATCGGCAGCTCGACAGTGCTTCATTGGAAAACCAATAACTCAGCCATCTGGAGTGCGATCGAGGTCAATGAGTACTTGATGGAAAACTTGTTTGATAAGATTTCTAATAGATCTGGTCTCATCTCAATATCACATCGACAAGTCCTCCAAACCATCAAGATATTTTGTGCCTGTTTCTGTCGGGAGCTACACTGTCGTCATGGGCTTGTTATTCATCCTTGGGACCCTAGCCCAAGTGGGAGCACACCCCAAGGACTTGGAGAACCCACCAAGGAAGCCCTTGGACGTCCTCCTCCTTGGCCGCCACCTTAGGAGCCCAGCAAGGACGTCCAAGCCAAGCCGGAGGCCTAGTCCAACTTGAGTTCGAGTCCATCTTGGGCTTAAGAACCAGCGTGTAGTAAAACGGACGTCTAGGTCGCATACAGACTCCGTTTTCGATGATCCACATATGGATGCAAAGATAATTTCATAAGGAAACCAATGAAAGTGGTCTCACATCAAAATTCCATCAGAATCAACGGGAATCATCGAAACAAGTTGACATCCAGAATTTGTCACGGCGCTGCGTCATCGTCTTTTGGGCCGTTGGGCCTTGTAACATGTTGGGACACCTTTAGGACGTAAAGAGGGATCCTTGGATGTCTCTTAGGCTATATAATCAGTAGCCGCCACCTACATTAGGTTTTGGGTTTTGTTTTAGATCAATCTGTCATTAAACAGTCGCTGTTATCGGTTTGCAAGACCCCAAACTTCGAGTGCTTAATCATTCATCTGTAATTTTCACTTCAATTGAGTTACGTTTTATCTTGTTCTTGCTTGTGTTCTTCGATTCGCAGCAGGGATTAGCCTTCTTGGCGAGGCCAACCGGATTGTGATACGGTTGATAACCAAAGGAGACGTGGTGCTAAGATTGCAGGGTTCGAGTTTTTGTGATCTGAAGCCGGATCGGTGTGTCGCTCTCCGAACAAATCGTTGTTTATCTTGAACCTGACGAAAGATCGAAAACCCTGTCCCTATCGCATACCTCGGCACGGAAGAAGACTATGACTTCGACGAAGAAGCGTACCACGAGGATTAGGGTTCCCGCGAGGAGATACGTTCATAGGAACATGACATCTTCGACCGCGCTCAAATTGCCTGTGGAATAGGACACCGCTTTGCTGTATAATAACCCGGTGAGACCACCAATAATGCCGTTTCACGGCCATAGTCCTCCGTTAGATATGTAGCTATGACCCTGCCCCTTGGGCCACTGTTGTAAGACTTTATTTTTCTAGATATCAATAAAGCTTAGAACCTTTTATTATATATATGTGTACTATTCCTGTGAATTTATGCGTGATCCTGGCGCAAATACGGATGCACTTAGGACTCTCAAATTGAGGGGCCGACGCGGCGGCTGGAGGTCGAGCTTGGCCATGGCAAGCAATGGGAGGAGGTAGGGGCAGGGGAGGAGAAGAAGGAGGCCACTGGGCGCGGTAGGGACTCATGGGAGCTCCATGGCAAGATGGCGGCAGTGTGAGCTCTAGTGAGACCCTAGAGCGCCATGGGAGGAGGGGGGGTGGGTAGCGGTGGGCGCGGTCAAGGACGAGGGCAAGGTCGAGGATGAGGAGGACGGAGGCGGGGTCGCGGGGGCGAGGACAAGGGCGCAGGGAAGATGAATAGTAGTGGCCGGCCGTGGGATTCCGTCCAGAATGGGTGGACCCTAGCCCCCCCCCCAAAGCCTGTAAACTTGATATGTTTGGGTTTTTTCCCATTAATACATCCATTAACAGAAAAACTGACCCATGGGCCACAGCTAAATTTAATCGGGCAAAATCTATCTCGGGGTTTCGGCTCATTGTCACGTGTGTTTGTTCCGTGGAACCTGGTTCCGGCTCGTGATAACAGAGCGTGCAGGCCTGAATCTCGGAGTGGGCTTGGGCTGGCTCGGTTCTGCTGACATTTTTTAGTGGGCTTGCTAGCTCACACTCCACACCAACCAACCACCACCGCCCGCTGCGCCGATTGGCCTGTTCCGTGTTCCCCTCTCCCCCCACCGGCCCTGCCGCCGCCGCGCCCTCACGTCCGTGGAGAGCATGCAAATCCCCTCGCGCCCGATTGTTCGCCTCCTCCGACGCCCCAACGGCGCACCTTCTCCTGCCCCGATGCTCCGCATCTCCCCTCCCTCGCGATCTCTCCTCTCCTCCATGGCTTCTGGTGCGCCTCGCGGGTGGCTACCGACGCTTGCCCAACGAGTTGCTTCAGTCAGGGCGGTGTTCAACCCTCCTGTTCGTCATGTTTCCCGGTGCGTTCTCTTATTCTGATGCTAAAGTTCGCACCTTTTACCTGTTGCTAAAGTTTTTCATGTCGATTCTGACGAATTTTGGATTTGTATTGAGAGATATTCGTTCTTAATTTTTGTTATTATTAAGAATGCTCATTCTTATATGTTTATTATCGACAGGCGTACTAGGAATAATCTTCTAATTAATCTCATCTCATGTATGTACTACAAAATCAGATAATCAGATAAAAATAGGGCGACAAATTCGATTTCAAACAATATTACATTATGATTTCAATCCTAACTGAGAGTTGGATGCTAAGATTTTCCTTTTGTCCTCTTGGTCATAGGTTCCCCCATGGATCTCGGAACATGGCCATCAGCAGTAGAGTGAAAGGCAAGGAATTGGGTAAACCAGACAGGTTCCACCTCATCCCTTCAGCCAAAGATCCTATCCACACAACTAAAGATAATATGATTTTCGTTGACAAGCTTTTTCCCATCACCAGACGCATGGACAATGAAGAGAATAGGGCTGCAATTGAGGAGTTCATTGCTCATTATGGCGATGGCGGTCCTGCCAACAATGACGATGGGAGCAAAATTTCCATGTACGGTGATGAAGATGTTTATAGGACAATAGATCCCAGTGGAGCAGTCAAAGATGTAGGAGATGGTGAAGATGAAAAGGACCAAGGGGTCAGCAAGGTTAGTGATGACAATGCGTATGAAGAGTTCACTGACTGTGAAGATAACTATCCCCGTGACGGTTCTGTCCGTTGGACGGCACTTAGAAGGAGCAGTCACCATGATGGTTCCATATACTGTACCAGGGGCACCTTTGGATCTGGCTGGAAAAATGATTATCGTATTGCAGACCGTAATGAGAGTAAGTGATCAATATCTCTTTTCCTATTGTTATCTATTTCGTTCTTAGAACATTTGTCAAGCTATAGGGTCAGCTAATATATTCTTTGTTGAAAGGTTAAATGCGCAATGCCTTTTTTTTTAACTTTATAAAAGGATAAAATTACTCTTCGTGTACCAATTATGGGACAAGTTGCAGAAAACCACATGTATAAAAAAAGAAATAGTTATTCATGAATCGTGGCATAGCTGACTATGAAGGAGAAAGTAAGGTAATGACTAGGGGCGAAGTTAGATCCAAGAGGTGTACATATCCATGGAAGATACTTGGTGTTTCCCCTGGCAATGACTAAATGGACAAGTTCCTTTTGTGAAGCATTTTGGCATGAATAAATTGGGTACATGGAACTTTTCAATAGAGTGCACATTTTGGGTGGTCGTGGTGGGGGGGGGTAATTTTTAGGAATAAACTGGTGCCAAGTGATGCTACCTATTACAGAGGAAGGAACCTTACATTACACCATAAGGGATTGGTGTGGAGGCAATGCTACCGCTTATGCATCCCTAGGGTGTGAGCTCAGCATCCACCAACAATCCGACAAGTTCCTTCTATTAGAAAGAGCCTGAAGTCTAATAGATTAGGAGCTTGCCTTTTAAATTGAAATGTATCTCCTGTGTTAAGTTAGGGAAGGGCAGCACAATAAATGAAATTTGTATCAAAGCCACAACTCTAAATATTGGAAGAAATTTTTTACTTGCCACTACAAAGTATTATAATCCCAGATCTTCTATTGGAAAAGATGTAATATGGTCTATGGCATCAACATTACAAATTTCAAGACCTATCAAGACGTGGCTTATAATTCCACTCTCTTGCCTTTCTATTTCCTCTTTCTTTGTTGATCTGTGGTCATGGTCAGTTCCCACCTTGCATTAGGACGCCATCACCCTCTACGTCAACATCCACCTCCCATGTCCCAAGTGATCATTCCCATGGCGGTCGCGATCGAACTGATGATGTAGAGGCCAGGGTTGATGAAGTGTTACAGAATGAAGTTGTGTGCTTGAGGTGGTCAACTGTGGACCTTTGCAGCAGAGCCCCCTCAACTCCAATCCATGGTGGTTTTTCCCCCAATTTGGGGTCAGATCTCCTTTTACCTTTTTTTTCTTTTCTCCTGTCTTGTCTGGATTAAGGGGGTGTTTGGGACTGCTCCGCTCTACGTTTTTTAGCCAAACGGTTTCAGCTCCACACACTCCGCTCGAGGAAAAAGGGTGGAGTTGTGAGAGCACCTAAAGAAGTGCTCCACAAACTCCAGTTTTTTGTGGAGCTGCTCCACGGTGGAGCAGAGTTTGTGGAGCAGTCCCAAACACCCCCTAAATTCGTTACTGGAAATTATGTTGGACAAAAGCTAGAATTTTTCCTTCTATTGTCCCACATGAAGTGATCTGGTGTTAGTAATTAGGTGGTATAGGGGTAGGGGAGTAAAGTAAGCCGAACAGACAACTGAAAAGTTGAGTGAGTACAGTGGATTTTCAAACTTTTACTTTTATTATACCATGCAGATTTTTTTCTATTGTTAATTTACTGTTACATTTTTGCATGTAATCTTTGATAAAGCTCGGTTGGAGGCAATGATGTTATCGGATCCCAACAAAGATTGCATCCTGGTGGATGGAACTTGCAGATGGCATAGAGCACAGTCCATGTTGCAAATTTTCTCAGTAAAGTTGGCTAAAATTTCTGTGGTCGATGGCCCAGTACAGTTGTATGGATACATTGCGGCACGGGATCTTGTCGACCCATTACTTAATTATATTGTCAATATTGGCAGGGATGATCCCATCACTGTGGAGAAGGTACACTTCCACACTTGTCTGTAGTTAGTTCAAATTACTTTATTTGTTTCATAGAAAGGCCAAGTTTATAACATGCATAGAACAAATGTGAATAGAGCTTACCTTTTGTTGGTATCTTACAGCCACTTAGTCTCTGTTACACTTCCACACTTGTCTGTAGTTAGTTCAAATTACTTTATTTGTTTCATAGAAAGGCCAAGTTTATAACATGCATAGAACAAATGTGAGTAGAGCTTACCTTTTGTTGGTATCTTACAGCCACTTAGTCTCTGTTACATTAGTGAAGTTAGGATAGAGTGGAGATGTATTAACTGTGCTCTTATGTGATAGTTGTAGGCTCAGTTTGCAATCTCATTGTCCTTAATTATTTGAAATAAGATTAGTCTATGGTCGTGGTGCCATGTAATTTTCATCATAAAAATGGAGAGTTTCTATTTTAGTAGAAATGAATAACATATGGGCCCAAAAGGGGCAGCTAAAATACGCTAGTGTTATATGAGTTGACAATTATATCTAGTACTGTATTGTGAATGATTACGATGAGAACAGACCGAAATTAACCATGAAACGAAGCGCAAGTGAGTATTACATGCTCCAAACAAAATCGAATAGAATAGTTTATAATCCTTTGGTTTATGCTTAGTACCACATAAAATTGATAGTGTGTGCATATGGAGATGACTTGAATGGTCCCATTGACCAATCACAAGGAAGTCCTTTTCCCTTTACATTTCAAATAAGCTAGCATAATTAATTTGTTGGAAATTTGGGATTCAAAATCAACTCATATATAGCTTGGGACAAACCTTTCCTCTCTGACAGACACTCTTACACACTTCATAAACATTATGTTTGATATGTGACAAACGTTTTGGGTATCAACTGTAAAATAATCCCTTCAACTAGATATTTTTATTACTACAACATCACAAGTGAAGCATTTAGCTTTAGATACCCTTTACTTTGCTATAAAGAGCTACTAAACAATAATCTTTTTGTAGGGCTCCCTCATTGAAACGACTGGCCCTAAACGAGGGATTGAATTGTCTTGCAATGTTTTAATTGAATATGACATGAGGATCAAGACAGGAGAACAGGAGAAAGGTGATCTACAGCTGATTGATGGTGTATCTATCGTTGATGAACTACTGACATCAAGTAACCCATGGACGAATCGCATTCATGGAGATTGTGGCGCAATTGACATAACTCAAATGTGCATTGATTATGCATTTGAGGCGACTGTAGAAGTTGTCATATCAGAAGTGCAGAGTAGCTTTGATTTGCTTCTCAGCTGTTTTACCAGTGGGCTGCATGAGGAAATTCGGCTCTTTGATGGTGTGATTGGCAAGTCACTTGGGTTGAGGAGGCATGTGCTTGCTGTTAGGAAAGGGAAGTGTATGGATTTGAAGTTCAAGGTAGGCTTTGGGTCTGACTGTTGCACTGAACATTGCCGTTCCTTCGAAGCGACCAATCATGGATGTTCCAGTGAGCAAATAAAGATGGAGTCCGCTTTAGTCTTGGTGAAGGTGACTTGGTCGTCTTTGGAATATTCTCTAAATTGATTCCTCATATGTATTGAAAGGATCAAGATGCCCAAGAGGGGGGGGTTTGAATTGGGCTTTTCTAAAAATTCTTGCAATGATTAAGTCCTAAGCAAAGTCCACTTCACCCCTAGTGCTTAAAAGTATATACTATTGTTCTATGGCACAAAAAAGTTTTGCAACCTAGTTCCAATCCTATACTAGCAAGTTAATTCTATAAATGTAAATGACAAAAAATGAATTGCTCAAAGTAAATGCACAAAGTAAAGGGAGGAAAGTAATATGGTGACGTTTTGCTGAGGTATCGGAGAGTTGGCACTCTCCACTAGTCCTCGTTGGAGCACTCGCACAAGGGTATGGCTCCCCCTTGATCCGTGCAAGGATCAAGTGCTCTTTACGGGCTGATTCTTTGCCACTCCGGCTCGGTGAATCGTCCACAACCGTTCACAAGTTGAGTTGGATCGTCCACAACCTTCAATGGATGATCACCACACTCCCAATCACCACCAAACCGTCTAGCTGATGCCGATCATCAAGAGTAACAAGCACGAACTCTCACTTGACCCAACCAAGCCTAATGAGATGAGTGAATGCACACTTACTACTCTCAAAACTCTAATGAGGTCCTTAATCTTGAGATTATCAAATCACAAACTTTCTCACTAGGCACTTGCTCTCCCTTGGACTCAAAGGTGTTCTTCAGCTGATCAAATGAGCAAGAGAAGTATTTGGAGGAGTAGGAGAAGTATAAATACCCCTCACAGCCAAACATACCCGTTGAGGTTCAAAACAGCCTATTAAGTGACGACCGGACGTGTCTGTTGGGTTGACCGGACGCGTCCAGTCAGTAGCCAACGGCTACATGACGTCAACTCAACAACTCTGACCGAACTCTGACACGCGTCCGATCAACACTGACCGGACGCGTCCGGTCAACAATTTCACTCTCTGGAACCTCTCTGTGTAACGACCGGACTTTGGCCTGCGTCCGGTACGAAAAACACTCTCTGGAACCTTACTGTGTAACGACAGACTCTGCCCTCGGACGCGTCACAGGAAAGAAAGGAACAACGTGGTGTAGAAAATGCACCGACGGCAATGCCTCGAAGATCGCGAGAGCTACGGCGGCACGACGTGGTCACGAGCGGCACACGTGAACGAAAATGTGGCATGGGACTATGGTGCGGAGTGGGCACGCGTCGGAGTAGCGTGAATAGCGTGGAGCGGCGCGGTGCGGATAGGCAAGCGAGGTGGCGCAATGCAGCGTGGAACAAGAACTTGACGGTATGGCGTGGTTCACTGGGTGCGGCGTGTGTATGGTGGCGGCCGGATAGAAAAGCGCTGGGCGGGCGGCGGCGGCTTGGCGCGAAGCGGCAGCGAGCGCTGCGTGGAGTAGCAAGGGCAGCCGGGGCGGCGTGGATTAGCACAGCGAGCAGCGAGCGGCGTGGCTGAGGGTGGTGGTACGACGACGCGGCTAGGGTTAGGATGGCGGCATATGGAGAGAGAGTGGACTATATATGACATCGGGCCCACATAGCTCATTTGCCCTAGCGTCCGGACGCATCCGATGAAACGATCGGACGCACCAACAGTGGAGTCTGGTGCGCGAACAAAGAGCTCCAAAACTACCTTCGACTCGACCGAATGCATCCGATGTATCATGACCGGACACTGAGAGAGTCCGGTGCAACATTACAGATCGAGCGGACGCTCTCGACTTCAATCGACCAGACGTGACCGTGACACTGTTCACGGAGTCCGGTCCTCCATAACTGACCGGACGCTGCTTCCCCCGAGTCCGGTCACAGAGTCCGGTCACGTTCAGCTGTGCTGCTCCATTAACAACTGACTGGACGCCACAGCAGGTGAGTCCGGTCACCGCGTCCGGTGCACAAAAACAGCCTTTTCTTCAAATTTCTTCACGATGATTTCTCCCAACCAAGTTCCAATTCAAATAGGAGCCAAAGAAGCACCAATTGGAATTGGTATGAGTGACATCTCTCAAACCCTCAAATTTTTTAAATATTTTGCCTTAGGCTTAATATCTTTTTAAGAAAATAGGCAAAGAAAATAGACAAGGAGCACCTTAAGGCCACTCAATAGGGGACATGACCAATTTGAGCCTCAAATGCTCCCCCTGAATGTGATTGAACTTAGCAGATGCTCAAAACTTTAACAAAAAAGAAACGACAAAGCAACAGACATTCAGATGCAATGCAATACAAGTAGATAAATCTAGTTGCTTGTCAAGTTTGATCCAAGGTTAAGCTTTTTCACACGCTTTTGGGCGGTTATCTTAACCATGTTAGACAAGCCCTAAGTGCGTTACAAAAAATTAAACATGTTTTATCTTACAATGCGATGCAAGAGACAACATAAGCTCATCTTTTAGTAAAGCTACTTCGATCAAGTACATTAAGCTCATTCCTCAACTTACAAAACCGAGATTCATCTAAAGGTTTTGTGAAGATATCCGCCAATTGATCTTCGGTCCTTACACCTTCTAGTGAAATATCATTTTTAGCCACATGATCTCTAAGAAAGTGATGTCGAATATCTATGTGCTTGGTGCGAGAGTGTTGGACCGGGTTATTAGCAAGTTTTACGGCACTCTCGTTGTCACACAAAAGAGGTACCTTTTCTAGAACTACACCATAGTCTAGAAGGGTTTGTTTCATATAAAGTATTTGTGCACAACAAGCACCGGCGGTGATATATTCCGCCTCGGTGATGGATAAAGCCACACTATTTTGCTTCTTAGATGACCAAGACACAAGTGATCTACCAAGCATATGGCACCCTCCGGATGTGATTTTTCTATCAATCTTACAACCCGCATAATCCGAATCGAAATAGCCAACGAGCTGAAAACTAGCTCCTTTGGGATACCAAAGGCCAATGCTTGATGTGTGCTTTACGTACCTAAGAATTCTTTTGACGACACTTAAATGAGATTCCTTAGGATTAGCTTGAAATCTAGCACACATACACACACTAAACATGATGTCAGGCCTAGATGCGGTCAAGTATAACAAGCTACCAATCATAAAATGGTAAAGAGTTTGATCAATCGGTTTACCTCCCTCATCTAGGTCGAGATGTCCATTTGTTGGCATTGGTGTCTTGATTGGCTTACATTCATCCATATTGAACTTCTTGAGAATATCCTTGGTGTACTTCTCTTGAGAGATAAAAGTTCCTTCTCTCATTTGCTTGACTTGAAAATCAAGGAAGAAAGTAAGCTCACCAATCATTGACATCTCGAACTCCTTTGACATCAATTCACCGAACTTTTTGCAATCATCTTCATTTGTTGAGTCAAATATGATGTCATCAACATATACTTGACAAATGAAGATTTCTTCATCAAGTTTCTTGGTGAATAGTGTGGTGTCGACCTTCCCAATGGTGAAACCCTTCTCAATGAGGAGATCACGAAGGCGCTCATACCAAGCTCTAGGGGCTTGCTTAAGCCCATGTAGCGCCTTGGACAACCTATAAACATGATTAGGGTATCTAGGGTCTTCAAACCCGGGAGGTTGATCAGCATAAACTAGTTCATTTATGAAACCATTTAAGAATGCACTTTTGACATCCATTTGATATAATTTCATATCATGATGAGATGCATATGCAAGAAGGATACGGATGGCTTCAAGTCTTTCAACCGGTGCAAAGGTCTCTCCAAAATCTAAACCTTCAACTTGAGAGAAGCCCTTTGCTACTAGTCTTGCCTTGTTCCTTACCACAACACCTTGATCATCTTGCTTGTTGCGGAACACCCACTTTGTTCCAATTACTCTTGCATCTTGTGGTCGCTCTTCAAGTGTACAAACTTGATTGCGGGTGAAGTTATTTAATTCTTCATGCATAGCATTCACCCAATCCGGATCCTTGAGAGCATCATCTACACAAGTAGGCTCAACACAAGAAACAAAAGAGTGATGTTCAATGAAAGAAGCAAGTTTTTGTGATCGAGTCATTACACCATTTGATGGACTTCCTATGATGAGATCTTGTGGATGTGATTGTAGTAGGGGAGTTGTTCTTCTTTCAACCACTTGGGGAGGAGGTTGTGGAGCATCAACATCTTGAGTTTGTGCCACTACTTGATTATGAGAGACATATGTGGCTTCATTTGTTTCTCTCACGTCTTTATCATCATCTTGTGGCACACTTGATGATGAAGGCTTGTCAATTACTTACACTTGATCATCATCATCTTTAGGCTTGATGTCTCCAACGGGTATGTTCTTCATAGCCTCCCTCAAAGGTTTTTCACCTACATCATCAAGATTCTCATATGCTCCTTGGGAGCCATTAGTTTCATCGAATTCCACATCATATGTTTCTTCAACTAAGCCGGTGGCATGATTGAATACACGATATGCTTTGGACTTTGATGTGTAACCAACTAGAAAACCGATATCACAACGTCTTTGAAACTTTCCTAGGTGTTGTCGCTTCTTGTAGATGTAGCATTTGCAACCAAACACCTGGAAAAAAAGATATCCAGCTTCCCATTAAGCAACTCATAGGGAGTCTTCTCAAGGAACCGTTGAATGAATAAGCGGTTAGAAGCATAGCATGCGGTGTTGATAGCTTCGGCCCATAAACTTTCCGGTGTGTTATACTCATCAAGCATTGTTCTTGCTAGGGTGATCAATGTCCGGTTCTTTCTCTCAACTACACCATTTTGTTGAGGAGTGTAAGTTGTGAAAACTTCATGCTTGATTCCAACTTCATCACAATAAGCTTCTATGTTTGTGTTGACAAATTCTTTTCCATTATCACTTCTTATCTTCTTGATCTTCACATCAAATTCATTTTGAGCTCTCTTGGCAAACTTCTTGAATGATGAGGTCACTTCGGTCTTGTCATGAAGAAAGAACACCCAAGTGTATCTTGAATAGTCATCAACAATTACTAGACAATAGAGGTTGCCTCCCAAACTTGTATATGTTGTAGGTCCAAATAAATCCATATGGAGAAGCTCTAGCACTCTTGATGTTGACATATAA